TTATAGAGAATACACATAAATCCGTTACGCAACGACCATCGCAGTTTATGGCTATTTCTGCACAGACCAGTGTCGGATTACAGGTCAGTGCTTTGTATTTGTTTGTTTTGATACTCTTATATCTTATATAAAAGTCCATTAGAATAAAGACTTCAAAATGCGACAGAATAGCGATTTGTTTTGATACCTGTTACATCTAAATTATAGAGAAGTCCATTAGAAGAAGGTAGAAAAGCGATAAAATAACGATAGAAGTATTAAGAAATGTTTGGTTTTTAAATGTCGTGAAATTAGGAATATCAAAATATTGTAACGTTGAAAAGTTTAACACATAATAATTGCTATACTCGTACTGTAGAAGAAAAATTAATAGACTGATGCTAGGTCAAAAAATATGGCATTTTAAGAATACAATATTTTTATATAGCGTATTGTTAATCTTATTTACTAATTCAACGTTATTCCCCTTCAGAACATATAAAGTAAACAATTTTTCTTGAGATATAAGGGTATAAGAATAAGAACGAGGTTAGAGATTATTTATTTTTACGTTAAGGGTTCGCGAGGACGAAACTGCAGGAAACAGCTAGTAAAATACAGTAAAATATAATGTCAAGCTGTTGAAGCAATACTTTTCAGTAATAATAAGTGTCAAACACTTAACCTACTTTATTTCAATTTAGGATGCCTTATGCTATGAAAACTAGAAAGCAGATATCTAACGTCTAAATCTATTATTATGATTTGCGAACGTTGACGTTGTGAACGAAAAATTGTTAACACATGCATTTTAAAAATGTTTTTCAAATATTTATCTCGATACGTATAATTTAATATACATAAATATTATATGCATTCATTCATCATTCAGCCGTTAATTGGCCACTGTTGAACTTAGGCCTCCGACTAGGTGGGGGGGGGGGGGGGGTTTTTCCATTAATTGTCACGCTTTGTTTGTGATTTGCAGATTGTTAACCTTTGGAGATGTTTTAAGAGGAACGCTGCTGCCCGTCTTCTGAACATTAAGTTCTTTTAGTCGCCTCCAAAAAAGAAAGAGGTGGCGCATTCCATGCTGGGACCACATGGCAAAATATTAAATGCAATATTCTCTAAATATTGTTCTCCCCTAACTTCCACCCTGATGTATTTATGAGACATGAAAGCTTGGCGCCGCGTGACATAGCGGGGTCGTTATCAGACATTATAATAGATACTAATATGCACTTAAAATTGTTTAGTTGACTATTACTAAAATCAATTACTTTACTTAATTGATTTTATGAAATATGCTCTGAATTTCAGTTATATATATATATAAATAGGTACATTCATTCATTTACAGTTATATATATATAAATAGGTACATTCTGTTCCACAAAAAAGAGGGAATTTAATCTTAGTAATATATATATATATATATATATATATATATATATATATATATATATATATATATATATATATATATATATATATATACTGACAAGATATTTTGACTCTTAAATAAAAACTCCATTAGGGTAGGCCAAAATGCCAAATGAACGGTTTATGCTTCGATTCAAACAAGCTTCTGAAATCTGAAGTTATTATTATATAAACACACCAACTGCTCCCATTACGGATACAAATGTAAATTTACATAATCGAGACGTGTATAACTTTTGTCTACTTCAAATGTCTACTGCATACATACTTTCTAAGCTAGGTATACTATTAGTGCGGCCATTCATACATTAGATCAATCAGTGTCAATAATATTATAATAGTTTCGTGACTAAAGACAAAAGTGCTTTTAAAAAGCATATTGCTTTGTAATAAAAAGGTATTTAAAGATTTATAACATAGTGAAGTCGAAACCTACTAATAAAAAATATAAATTAATATATATTATATTTACAATATATTGTAATATTATAATTGGGGGGCAAGGGATTGTTAGTAATGGAGACTGAGAATCCTATTGCTAGCAATATACTCAACCAAATAAATATAATTAAATTAATAAAATCAATTACATCCTAATATTGTATATCGTAATTAGTAATGAAAAGTAAGGACTTTAAATTACAATATACAATTTACAATACTATTTGAACAAAGAATAAAAAGGATGTTAATTATGTATCTCAATAGATAAAACGTAGGGCTATCATGCACAGGTCGCAATTAAAAAGTTCGCACGACATCCACCCATACAATTGCTATAACCGTTGACTCATTAACCCGCAAACAATGTCAAGAATGGGAGCTTTGCCTTTCGATTGAACGGACGCGGCGCGAGCGCACAAAGCGCCGCCGAGCATGCGCTTGCGCAAGATTACGCGAGCTAGTGATGTGCAGAATCAGGCTGACACGAGTACTGTCTCGAATATCTAATAGGTACCCGAATACTCGAATTCCGATACACGATATACAAGTACATGTTTCGAGTATATATGGTAATCTAACACTAGTTGCACGTTTATCATTTTCTTATTTTTACTTACAAAAAGAAAAATAATTATATTTTATTTAAATTAAAAGACTAACATAAACTTTAAAAAATAAAACTTAAAAAAATAAAAGATTTCATTCAAATGATGCTTCAGAATATACATATTTATACATGTATTCAAATACTAGTCCGAATACTGAAACTAGTTACAATTCGATTATTTTCAACCGACTTTAAAAAAGAGGAAGATTTCAATTTGATCTTATTTTTGTATGTTTTATTACTTAATTCCTATAGGCGACGTTATTTATCATGAAAGAATATATTGTTTGAATTCTACTTGTATAAAAAAAAAAGTATAAAAAAGATTGGTCCCATAGAAATATAATCAAAATCTATTTAGTTTTTAATCAAAATAACTGAATTTACCACTACTAAGTCGGTTTTAACAACAAAACAACCTTAAATTATTTAAATGAGTACCGATATACTCGATACTCGAATATCGACTCGGCACGTCACTATACGCGACACGGCGCGGCGCGGCGTCTGTGTCAATAACTGTAACGGATCGTGATCGACGTGTGATCGTGCGACTCTAATCGGACCACACGTGCTAGTCAAGGTCTTCGCATATTTAATTGCTGAAACCTTATACGCGAGCATATATGAATTTGAAATCTTATATATTAAGGAAGATATTGTAGTACTGTACTATACCGTAATATTTTAAAACTAATAAAATATTACAATTTTTGTTGTTACCTCCATCGTGATTAAAGATATTTTAGTAAAAAGGGGACTTGCACTATTTAATTAAACACTTTACTTCTCAGAAGGAGGCTACGTATGAAGTGTCAACTGAGAAATGCTTAATCTTTTCTCCTTATTCAATATTAATATTAGTTAATTTAAGAAACTGCAGTTATGTTTTTACGAATAAATCTCATTTCATTTCATTCATAAAAATTAAAATCTACGAACCTATTCTATTACACTGTTTTGTCGTTGTCTTTCAAATTACGAATTTAAAAGAAAAAGATTAACCCCTAAAATAGATTTTATAATATATTTAACGTTTTTATGAATAAAGGAACTTCCCTTTTTTTTCTCAGTCTCTCAAAGTCTCTGTATAGTATAAAACAAAGTCGCTTCCTGCTATTTATACGCTTAAATGTTTTAAACTACGCAAGAGATTTTTAAGCGGTATCCATCAATAGAGTAATTCAAGAGGAAGGTTTATACGTATTGTTTAATATTTTTTGTGTCAATTTGTTCAAAAAATAACGATAATTATTCAAAATGTGGAAAAAATTAAGTCGACTGAGAGTTCTCATCGAAAATGTCCAAAGATAACAAAATAATGTAATTGTTTATTTTTATCAGGATTATAAAAAGTTACAAAAAATTCCATTTTTTTTTATACAATTTAGAATGGCAAACAAACTGACAGCCCACCTGATGGAAAGTGGTAACCGTCACCTATAGACATGAGCAGTACCATGGACATAACAGAGTATACTGTTTCGCTCATGATACCCCCATGCGTTGCCATTCCTGAGGACTTAAGTATTATTCCTCTGTACCCAGTAAATTCATGCCATATCCCACCCTTTAAACCGAAACACAGCCATGCAAACACAACTGCTTCACGGTTGAAACACGAATGGGACAGAGGTACCCAAAGCAATCGACTTTTGCACAAAGTCTCTCTCTATACTATACAGATAGCTTTTTATAACAATTTTAATGTTTAAAATAATTAATACAAATTATGTGGAATTTGGAATGCTATTTAGATGGATTTTCGTGCCGGCATAGAATAGGCCACCCATTCCTTTCCTGTAGGTGTCGTAAAAAGCGATTTAGGGAGCTTATGATGAAGGGGTGGGCAGCAGCGTCCCTCTTAAAACATCACCAATAGCCAAACTGCGATTGTCAACACTTCTTGCCAAGCGTAGCAACTACAAGCAAAACCCCCTTAGACAGTTATCGTCTGATACAACATTTAGATTGATACGATAGCAATATTATGATGATGCAATACAATGAGAAGTTTCGTGACTGACTCTTGGCCACAGCAGAATATCAGTGTTTTGCTCTTTTAAGGGCAAAGCAATAAACTGAGCTGTGACCATTTTGTGTTACTATGGCACACGCATGAAGGAAGGGTAAGAAAGGAGATTGTTAGTTTATATATTTTGTTTTTGTATTTTTTTTATTTGTGCTTCTTTATTTTTATTCTTTTGTCTCTTTTGCTGTGTATTATGTATATGTTTTTTTAGTGTAATTTGTGTGCTGTAAGTAATGTAAATAAATTATCTATCTATCTATCTATTATTAATCACTTCACAGTGACACCATACTGTTTCTACGTAGCACACGGGCGAAGTCGGGGCGGTATATATATCTATATAATATGACGTCATTAATACAACCCAATTTTATTGTTGTATGTCTGTAACGTTTACAAATTTTGATTCAGTAAAGCATCACATTAGTATCTCGTGCACTTGTTTAAAAGGATAATATTAGGTTTATTTATAATAATCTTTCATTATTGCAGAGGAAGACGAATGTGGCGTTCTATCCGAGGGCTCGGAGACATCGGAGTGCGGCCGCGCGGACACCGACGACGAGGGTATCGAGAGAGACGCTGAACCGGCCCCGCGGCGCAGGCGCACCCGGAGGCGATTTACGCTTAGGGATGTTATAGAGGTAAGTTCGGTGACGTAATCAACATTATTGTCCAGAGGGCATGGCTCCTGAATTTGACAACTGCTTTATTTTCCCTTAAATTCGCTTATAGATATGGAATTGTTATTATGGTAACGAGCTTGGTAAGAATATAGTAAAAGATATGAGCACCATCATATTTTTTTATATATTTATATATTTTACTGAACTATGCACTTAAACTGAAAAATAAAATAAAAAAAGTGACGAACGGTTAACCGTTAACGTTAAGCCTAGTGTTAACACTAGACACCGACCAGCCATCTAATAATTTGCCTTAAGATGCTTCGTGAAACACGCGTCGCAAAACGTGCGTACAAAATGACAGTTAGAGATTAATAGCTAATGTGCAAGGTTGTGGAACTTCTGGTAGTAATAGTGGTAGTCAATCTTCGAGTGTTGGCAGTCATACACTCATTAATGGTAGCGGAATTAAACAAAATAATTCTTATCAATTAACGAATAATATAATAGTATATACAGTCACACACTCATTAATGGTAGCAAAATTAAACAAAATAATTCTAATTAAAAATAGAGTAATATAATAGTATATAGATAATAATAATTTATAATAACAATCACAGTACTTCAATTTAAACGGATTCAACAAATATCTGCACTTGGCATTTTCATCAATACTAATCAATTCGCCTGTATGTGAAAACGCAGTTGAAACAATGCGATGAAACTGGCAAACTAGCGCATTTAAAAATGGAATATCCATTTTTAAATGTACTATTCTGGATATGTTTAAATTAAATACTATTAAATTTTTAGTAGTCTTATAAATATTAAAAAGTAGATAGCTCGTACAATTTTTATTAAGAGAAACATAATATTAGTCCTCACGTGGTAATGCGTGGGGCTCATGGGCGATACAATAAACCCTATTATTTGTATCTATGGATGACGTTTACCAATTTCTATCGGGTGGTCATGCTTATTTGCCATTCAAAATACTATTAAGATACAAATAAGGATAATCATGACCAGTCTATTCCTTTTTAGGTGTTACTAGATGAAAATTACAACATCGCTCGCGGTAATTTATATTGATTTCCAATTTCGTTTGTTCAATTCTGAATTCTTTTTTCAAATTTTAAACATCATTTATAGTTCATATTCTTTTAGAAATATAATTTGTTTGGGTATATTGTAAAAGGGATTGTTGGCGACTGGTCGATGCTAACTTTTTAGATTTTATTATATGCTTATTTTTATACAAATTTAATTTTAGAATGCATTTTTTTTTATATAAACTTAAAATGGCAAACTAGCTGAGGGCTACCTAATGGAAAGTGGTAACCATTGCCTATAGACATGAGCAGTTCCATGGACATAACATACTGTTATGTCTTTATTTGTATTTTATTTATTAATTTCTTTTTTTTTTTTTGTATTTTTTGACAACGTCTGTTCTTTTCTTGCTTGGTTGCTGTTAATACTCTGCTAATATCAGTGTCAACATCATTTATCACCTCATCACAGTTCACCGCTCTGTTATAGGGATTTTCTAACTCTTCTGTTACTAGTTCCAGTTACTACGAGTTTAATTTATGTTAGTAAATATATTTCTAATGTTTTAAGAGGAGAATTAACGCGATCATTTAGTTAACTGATGATAAATTACCTGAATTAACTCGACATCACGTGTGGTCCCTGCATAGAATAGGGCCACCCCTTTCTTTCCCGTGGGGGCGTAAGATGCGACTAAGGGAAGACGAGGGGTGGGCAGCAGCGTCTCTCTTAAAATATCTCCAAAGCCTAACTGCTGTTGCCAATTCGCCTGCCAAGCATGACAACTACTGGCAATCCCCCCCCCAGGGGGAGACTTATGTTCAGCATCATGATAATGACATTAAAATTAAGTAAAAAAATTAAATTATCGTAGTTAATCTAAAATGATCCAGTTAATTATAGTCTCCTTATAATACTTAAAATATGCAGTAAAAGTTAATCTATTTCTTAATCTTTTCTTTTAACTTATTCTTTTATATTTTATCTGCAAGTAAATGGAGCAATGCACTTTCTGTGTACTCCGCTAACGTCTGTGTAAGGGGGGAAAAGGGATTGTTAGTAATGGAGACTGAGAATCCCATTGATAGCAATATACCCAACCAGGTCGATCTCCTCGCGGTTCCCTCTGGAAACTGTCATGGTTAATTCCTGCTGAATTCATCATGATGGGCTAACTGGCCTGTTTTCATTCTCATCTATCACCCTTCACTGGTGCTCCGCCAGCGTATCCCGTTAGCGCAGGCCGTGCTATCGTACCATTTTCACCCATCAAAAAAAAAGTCCGTGTCTGTCTGTGTAACTTTTGTCAAGTTGAAAAGTTATATTTTAGCTGGATATCCCAATAGTGGGATTTTAAATGATAAGTATAATTCTATTTACATCTAGCATAATAATATAAATCACTTAACATAAGAAAGCTCTCAGTTTAAGTACCTAATTACCGCAAATGAATATTAGAAGTACACTGCACAGTTAAATAAACATAAACATACATTTCTGTTTTAATTTCCAAACCAGTTCAGTCATGTTCATTAAATGAGTTGTACTCCACAAGAAGGAATTTTGATTTTATTGTAGAAAACAACTTCGATTCCAAGTCTTTCGACTTTCACTGAGGCAGTCGCTGTGTTTTGATCTCTATCCTGATGTGCTGCAACTCGGATATCTTTGGTAATACCTATTTATTTACTTTGTGCATATTTTTATTAATATTTTGGTTAATGTATTCCATGGAGAAAACCCAAAGTTATTTTTAATTTCAACCATGCTGTTTATTTTTTTTTATATAAATTCTAATGTGAATGTCAGTTTGTTTATTTGTATGCTGTCTCTTAACGTCTTAACAGTTGATTCGATCACTATGAAGTTTTATATGTATGTATGTATGTGCTATATGCGAAAAAGGACATAGATTACTTTTTATTCCGTTTCGTAAATATTTCTCTTTCATGTGGATAAAGTCGCGGCTAAGAACTAGTTATATTAAATTACATATTAAATTTAATTTAAATAAAAATCTTTATTTTTAAATTGTAATAGTATTATACATTTTTAAATTGTATAGTGTCATTTTGACAAAGGTTTTAAAAACTGTTCTACAGAATTATTTCGAAATCTGTTTTTACGATTTTCGTCAAATTAAAAAAAAATGTAACATGAATTAATTATTTTTAATGTTATTTCATAATTCATTAATCAAGTCACTTTGTCAATAATTTTAAAATATATGTATAATAATATGCATGAAATACACATGACTTGATGATATTATGTGTCAACAACTTAAGATAATTTCACTTTTTCGTCTTCTTCCATCACAGATGAACGATCATATATGAAACACTTCTTCAATTTTATTTAAAACGTTCCCGAGATCATTGACTCCCTCTATTTGGGGGGTTTGCCCGTACCACGCTTGGCAGGCGGATTAGCGACCGCAGTTAGGCTTTGGAGATGTTTTAGAGGGACGGCTATACCTCGACCATTATGCTCCTTTAGTCGCTTCTTACGACACCCACGGGAAAGGTAGAGGTGATCTACACATGTATATCCAAAGGTTGACTGGTAGAGAATGCTACTAGAATTAAGTTCGCTTTTTGTACCATATTTTCTTTCGTATATATGGTCCATAAAGTTGTTAATATATATAATTGTATATACGTATATATTGTTAAAAAAAATAACTGATGCACAAGGTCACCTATAAATCAATAAATCAGGCGAGATGCATTAGCCATGTTACGTAACTTAAAAGCTTCTTACAAACAGCTACTTTAACCATCCCACTACGGAAACAATTTGGTAGTTATATCACCAATTTGGTAATTATAGGTGGCTTCGAAGGCAACACTTTAATGTATCCGTTACTGGTTATAATATACAAGGAGTCCCATATATATATGTACCCTCTTTTCTTCTAAAATTATTCAAGTATTGTCATGAAAAGCCATTGCATTATATTTAATTATAATTTAAAATAATTTAATTACAATTTTCATTATTTATATTATGTTATTATTCATATTGTTAATATCTTTACTTATTTAATGACATTTAATAATTTAATTCTATTTTAATGTTTATCAAACACAAGGCACGCTGTGGTTGCCTATAAATGTAAGAACAGTTAGATCTAATCTACCTGTGTATTGTATTGAAATGTTTAGCTGTATCTTATGTTGGTAATCCTATAAATAAATAAAAGGAGGGTAGTGTTTCCAATGTGTAGGTAGTAAAGTACATATGTAAATGAGTTTGCCTGTAAAACTAGATCCTCGATGCAACTTGTACTCTACTTATACGAGTATATGGCTTAACAAATTTTTATAAAAATATAGAATTTTACTTTTTCTTTGCAAAGGAAAATCCTGTTAGTTGTTAAATAAAATTTATCTGACATTATAAATTAGTATATTTTAAATGTAAATAATATTATATTTTTTAAGGAAAATCGTGTCCTTAATATAAATGTTATTATTTTATGAAATTTTTGCCTTTTTTTATTAGAATTGGTTTACTAACTAAAGTTAGTTAACCAGTTGTAATAAAAAAAATTGATTGAAAAAGTAACAAGCCAATATTAATAACGCTATTATTATAGTCTATTTTTAGAATATCCACATACACAATACAAAGTTGTAATAAAAAATAATTCTTTGTTATATGAACATAAACAAAATTGGAATAAAAACTCGATCACGAAGGCGACATAACAAAAACTGTATTCTACGCCTATATCGTTATACACGTTTTTATATATACGTTTTACGAGTTTTCATTCAATTATTCGCAACTAATAAATTTATCGAAAATAAAATTATTGTTTCACGACATTTAGTATTTTTATAATTTATAGTGGCACGTCAGGCCATGGTATGGCACGAATAAAATGTAGAAAATATGTAATAATAATATTTACCTGTTTGAATTAAAAATAAAATATAAATATAAATTTTTCTTCA